CCTTGAGATAATATCTTGAAAATATCGATTATTGTAAGGCCTTCAATAATATTTTACCCTCCACCTTGGAAACGAGTTTTTATACCCTCCTAAAAATTGGTATTTGTTGAGCATAATGGGTTCTGGCTCCAGTGGCGAAACAATGGTACCTCCCGATATTTGGTATTTTTAATTTTTTGCCACATTTTCCCACGAATTTGTCTAAAAATTGGACTTGTGGGTCATAATGGTTTCTAATACTTCCTTTACCCTAAGGTGGAGGGTATTAAAAATCTGCCCTGCCAAACTTAATATTTTTTTTACTTGTTTTTTTTTTTTAATTTTTTATACCACATGATAGTCGCCCTACAATTTGTTTTTCTTATGCCTAAATGTATGCAATAAATTATTTTTTTAAATTTTTGTTTTATCAATTTATTACTAAGTTGTTGATAAACAAAAATCCCTTCCCCTCTTTTACTTCAAAGCAACACCAAATAGAATTCAATATTCTATTCCTTTTCTGAACACACATTGACTTGAGATTGATTGAAGGCATTGTCAGCATGTCAAGTGACCCTGTTTTGTTTGTTATTATTATTTATTAAAATTGTTCCATTTATCCATGTCTATGACAACTATTTACTTAATACTTTGCCAGATATTGTTTTAAGGAAAACTATTCATAAATTTATGGTCATCTCAAAACTATGCAATATTTTATTGTGTGCAAACATTGTGGGGCCACACACAAAGTATGCAATAAATTTAAAGTTTATTTACTGAAGATCAATATTTATATCCAAAATAAAATCGAAAGAAAAAAGAATCTTTTATTATAAAATTTTTATAGTTCATACCCCCACCCCAAAAGTATACAATGGAAATTCTACAAAACTTTACTACTTCTTGTGTTGTATGGATGTTGTTAAGATTTATTTTAAAATCGAAAAAACACGAGTTTTGTTTTATAACTTTCACATGTAAAGAAAAGTAAAAATTATAACTATTTATTGCTAAAGAAAAGAGTTTTTTTTTTTCTCATTTTTATGGCAATACATATTTTATGCAAAAAACAAACAACAAATTTCCGATAGCCTGGGTGCCTAAAAATGGTCACATGTTTTTGTCATAAATTTTCATATGCCCTTTGGAAATTCATATACGCACAACCGCACACACACACACACACATGCCAAATAATGTGTATTTCAGTAAATAAATATGTTGTTGCTGTTGTTGTTTTGTGCGTAACATGCTTGTTACTCTGACCAATATGTACTGACCGCATTTTATGTTGTAAAAACCAATTGATATATGTATGAGTGTGAGTGTGTGTGAGTATGTGTGTGTACAAACCTATATTGTTGGTATTTTGTTTGTTTTGTGTATACGTATGGCCTCTTTGACCACAAAACAGACGACTAGTTTTCATAAAATTATTGAATTTTTCCATTGGCAATAGCCAGCTGGCCGGTCAGGCAAGCCATGCATGTCGTTTGCCTTTTGTTGCTGCTGCTGCTGGTCAATAACCAAAAGCCTGAATGGTCGAGTGACTTGCTAGCCCGACCATCCAACCAGCCGGCCCCGTCAGCTGGGTGGGAAAATATTATCAAATATATATAAAAATTGATATATGGTTATGGTTATACATAAGTGCCTAAAAGTATACTTTAAAAATGAAAAATTCGTATCTATAGAAATTATGTCATAAACATTATTTTTAATAATATTTAACGTCGATACAAACGGAATGATAGAGAGCTACAGTGCAGGCCAAATAAAAGGGAAAAATTCAAAAAAAAAACAAAAAAAAACAGAATAGGTTTGGGAGTCCCTTTAGAAATATTTTTTAAGGCCCGCAATTATGGGTTGGAGAGTCACTATCGGAATATTTTTCAAAACCACTCGACTAGGTATCTGGATGTCTTTTCAGAATATTTAGAAAAAAAATAGGTCAGAGAGGTCTCTCAGTGATAAGGTAGGGTTTTTAGAAATTTGTATTAAATTATAAAGGGAAAAATTCGAAAATAACAGGAATAGGTTTGAGAGTCCCTTTGGAATTATTTTTTAACACCCACAATTATCGGTTGGAGAGTCGTTATGGAAATATTTTTCAAAACCAGTCGACTATGTATCTGAGAGTCCTTGAGGATGTCTTTTATGAATATTTAGAAAAAAAAAAAACAAAATTTAGGTCAGAGAGGTCTTCTAGTGATATGGTCGGGTTTTTGGACATTTTTTATTAAAATGGTACGAAAAGTACTAAAATGTACGAAAATACTTTTCAAAACCTCTCGGCCATATATCTGAGAGTCCTTGAGGATGTCTTTTATGAATATTTAGAAAAAAACAAAATTTACGTCAGAGAGGTCTTCCACTGATAAGATCGGGTTTTTGGAAATTTTTATTAAAAGGGTACGAAAAGCACTAAAATGTACTACAAATTTAATGCTTTGTTCCGGACAAACAAAATGAACTAGAAATATTTTTCAAAATCACTCGACTATGTATCTGAGAGTCCTTAAGGATGTCTTTTATGAATATTTAGAAAAAAACAACAAAATTTAGGTCAGAGAGGTCTTCCAGTGATAAGGTCGGGTTTTGGGAAATTTTTTATTAAAATTATACTTGTTACGGACAAACAAAATGAACTAGAATTCTATGATTTGAAAGGAGAGTCGCAGATACAGGATAAATGCACGGAAGAGTTTTTTGGAAATTCGTGATAAGGTCGGGTTTTTGGAAATTTTTTCAAAACCAAGCGACTAGGTATCTGAGAGTCCTTGAGGATGTCTTTTATGAATATTTAGAGAAAAAAACAACATTTAGGTCAGAGAGGTCTCCCAGTGTTGAGGTCGGATTTTTGGAAATTTTTATTAAAAGGGTTCGAAAAGTACTAAAATGTATTAAAAATGTAATACTTGGTTACGGACAAACAAAATGAGCTAGAATTCTAAAATTTGAAAGGTGAGTCACTGATGCAGGATAAATGCACCGAAGAGTTTTTGGAAATTCGTGATAAGGTCGGGTTTTTGGAAATTTTTATTAAAATGGTACGAAAAGTACTAAAATGTACGGAAATATTTTTCAAAACCACTCGACTAGGTATTTGAGAGTCCTCGAGGATGTCTTTTATGAATATTTAGAAAAAAAAAAACAAAATTTAGGTCAGAGAGGTCTCCCAGTGATAAGGTCCGGTTTTTTGGACATTTTTATTAAAATGGTACGAAAAGTACTAAAATGTACCAAAAATTTAATTCTTTGTTACGGGCAAAGAAAATGAACTAAAATTCTAAAATTTGAAAGGAGAGTCACTGATGCAGGATAAATGCACCGAAGAGTTTTTGGAAATTCGTGATAAGGTACTAAATATACGGAAATATTTTTCAAAACCACGCGACTAGCTATGTGAGAGTCCTTGAGGATGTCTTTTATGAATATTTAAAAAAAAAAACAAAATTTAGGTTAGAGAGGTCTCCCAGTGATAAGGTCCGGTTTTTTGGAAATTTTTATTAAAATGGTACGAAAAGTACTAAAATGTACAAAAAATGTAATTCTTTGTTACGGGCAAACAAAATGGACTAGAATTTGAAAGGAAAGTCACTGAAAACGAAAAGTTTTTGGAAATTCGTTATAAGGTCGAGTTTTTGGAAATTTTTATTAAAAGGGTACGAAAAGTACTAAAATGTACGGAAATATTTTACAAAACCACTCGGCTATGTATCTGAGAGTCCTTGAGGATGTCTTTTATGAATATTTAGAAAATAAAATAGCCCAGAGAGGTCTCCCAGTGATAACACCGGGTTTTTGGAAATTTTAATTAAAATGATACGAAAAGTACTAAAATGTACCAAAAATTTTAATACTTTGTTACGGGCAAACAAAATGGACTAGAATTTGAAAGGAAAGTCACTGAAAACGAAAAGTTTTTGGAAATTCGTTATAAGGTCGAGTTTTTGGAAATTTTTATTAAAAGGGTACGAAAAGTACTAAAATGTACGGAAATATTTTACAAAACCACTCGGCTATGTATCTGAGAGTCCTTGAGGATGTCTTTTATGAATATTTAGAAAATAAAATAGCCCAGAGAGGTCTCCCAGTGATAACACCGGGTTTTTGGAAATTTTAATTAAAATGATACGAAAAGTACTAAAATGTACCAAAAATTTTAATACTTTGTTACGGGCAAACAAAATGAACTAGAATTCCAAAATTTGAAACGATAAATGCAGGATAAATGCACCGAAGAGTTTTTGGAAATTCGTGATAAGGTCGGTTTTTTGGAAATATTTATTAAAAGGGTACGAAAAGTACTAAAATGTACGGAAATATTTTTCAAAACCACTCGGCTATGGATCTGAGAGTCCTTGATGATGTCTTTTATGAATATTTTGACAAAAAAACAAAATTTAGGTCAGAGAGGTCTCCCAGTGATAAGGTCGGGTTTTTGGAAATTTTTATTAAAACGGGTACGAAAGGTACTAAAATATACTAAAAATTTAATACCTTGTTACGGACAAACAAAATGAACTAGAATTCTAAAATTTGAAAGGATAAATGCAGGATAAATGCACCGAAGAGCTCTTGATAGTCTTAATAAACAAAAAAAAATCTTTTCTGATTCCATGTATCCTGCCAATACTGTACTGCATCATAATTTATGATATTAAGCAATTTTAAATGACCACCAGTGACACCAATATCAACCACGAACATTGATTTACGATGCCGATACACACAGGCTTTGGCTAAAATCAAGTGTCACAGGGAAAAATATCTCTTCCTTTATTTAAATGGCCACGAGTATTTCTTTTTTTATCATCCACATTATCATCATCATCATCACAGGCAATATTATGACGATGATGATGATGATATTGTTGCTGTTGTTGGCCCGGATTGACAACATAATATCTGGCAACCATTACTCTTTGGTTTTATAAAATTTAATGTTTTTTACACAACCAGAATTGATTAAATTTCCATTTTTTTTTTTATTTTCCGTTTTCCCTTCACAGGTGGTCTACAAATTGAAAACAGTCGTGAAGAGGATCAAGGCAAATACGAGTGTGTTGCGGAAAATTCTGTGGGCACTGAACATTCAAAGGCCACTAATTTATATGTGAAAGTACGACGGGTATCGCCAACCTTTTCGCGGCCGCCAGAGCCCATCAATGAGGTTATGTTGGGTTCGAATTTGAATCTGTCCTGTATTGCTGTTGGTTCCCCCATGCCGCATGTGAAGTGGATGAAGGGTGAGTTTTATTAGACCTCCGAAAATATTTAAGAATATTTTATTATTTGTTTTTTTTTTTTTTTTTCCCAATAGGTGCCCAAGATTTGACACCCGAAGATAATATACCCATTGGCCGTAACATTTTGGAATTGACAAACATACAACAAAGTGCTAATTACACATGCATAGCCTCATCGTCATTGGGCCAAATCGAAGCCGTTGCCGTGGTCAAAGTTCAATGTAGGTCAAATGTTTGTTGTTGTTGTTGAAATAATGGAATGTGGAAAATGTTGAATGTTTTGTGTTTTGTTTTTTTTTTTTTTGTATTTGTTTTTCTCTCTCTTTCTATAGCCTTGCCCACTGCACCCACAGACATAACAATTTCCGAAGTGACAGCCACCTCTGTACGCCTCGAGTGGTCTTACAAAGGCCCAGAAGATTTACAGTATTATGTGATACAATATAAGCCCAAAAATGCTAATCAGGTAAGAGGGAAAGGGACAAGAACATTAAAATAGAATTATTATATAACGAAATTAATAAGAAAATTATTTTATTATTTTTTTTTTTTTTGTAAAATTTACAAAAAGGATATAAAAAATTATTTTACATTTTAAAATTTATTTTTTTATTTATATATATTATTATTATTATTTTTTTTTTTTTTTTGAAAATTTACAAAAAAATATTTTTATTAAAAAAGATATTTTATAAAACATTATAAAATTAGAGCCCAAAAAAGAAGAGCCCAAAAGAGCCCAAAAAAGAAGTTTGCATCGAGGGCAATTCCCCCCTGTTCAACATTTTTGGAAATTTTCAAGTTAATAATCTTAGAAATCCATGCATTTTAGGAATATACCGGAACTTTTAATTTTTACATCGAGGGCCTTTCCCTTCCTCTTGCACACTTTTGGAAATTTCCGAATTAAGAATCCTCGGAATCCATGCATTTTAGGAATATTAACCCTCAAGCGAGTCAACTAAGGGGTCTTTTTGGTCCTTTTTTGGAAATATGGCTAAAAACTCGCTATAAACGGAATCCCAGCAAGTCAAAATATTCCACAAAATTATTTGCCATAAAATTCTACTGTAGGACCTAGGAGACTTCCATAGCCTAAATCTTACCTAAACGTCCGGAATTCATATAAATTTAAAACTCATTTTTGGGTTAAAGTCATACTTTATGTGAGTTTATGTAAAAATCACCAACAAAGCATCATTTCAGAAAGGTGAAGTCAAAAACAAAAATATTCCTCATCCAATTTTACTAAAAGTCACCAAAGAAAAGAAATTGCTATTTACACTGTGTTACAAAAAAAAATTACATCAATGTTTCCAAAGAAAACCACGAAAAATATTCCCTAATTTTTTGAAAAATTTTTCATCGGACTTTTTTCGAGTTGACGCCTGAAAGTAACGTAAAATTTCGTTTTAGGCGGAAAGTGTCAAAAGAAGAAATGTTTTGCACAAAATTTCACTATAAGTCTTAGAATAAACCATATATGCAGGTGCAATAGTTTTTATGAAAAATACATTCGAAATTTATGTACTAAAATTGAAAATGATGTCTTTGCTTTTTTTAATGTTAATTTAACACGTATCCAATCCGCGTCAAAATCTCCCTTTAAACTTCATTTTTCGAAAAAAGTTTGAAAGTATGAATTATTCTAGATCAATTTTCATTGTAAGTCTCTGAGCAAAAGAAGTTTGTATAGTTAATATGTGCCTTGAAAAAATACCATAAATTTTTTGTTAATAAAAAACCTAGTTTATTTCTGAAAAATATAGCACTTGTTTTCAAATCCCTGCAGATTTTTTTTATTATTTCACTATACAAAAGCCAGTCTGACTTGTGGAAAAATGTCAAATGCACTTGATACTACTCGTTTTCAAATCAAAATATCAAAGGTGTTTCGGGTTCTTTGGCTAAATGCTCGTATAGGCCCCATATTACATTACGTCCCGATATTTTGACAATTTTAGTGGCGTTATTCACCCGAATCGTACCTCGTATTCGAGATTTGTGATGGGTACTACAACATATGCCTAAAAATTTCGTTCCATGTCATCGTATAGCCCCCATATAAAGGTACCTCCCGATATTTGGTATTTTGATGATTTTAGCGGCAATATTCACGCGAATTGTTTTAAATTTCATATTCGAAGTTTGTAATGGGTAGTACAGCCTATGCGTAGAAATTTCGTATTCAGGTCCACGTCTTCGTATAGCCTCCATTTAAGGGCACCTCCCGATATTCGGTATTTTGATGATTGCTTTTAGCGACATTATTCACCCGAATATGCCAAAAAAAATTCTTATTCAAATCCACGTCTTTGTATAGCCCCCGTATAAAGGTATAGGCTATTTGTCACATTTTCTTTTTTTGCTTTTTTTAAATTTTTCAAGTTTCTTCCATATTTATTTTTTTTTTAAATAAAATTTAATAATTTAAATTAAAATATTATCTCTTTTTTGACAAACAAATAATTTAAAAAATATACAAAAAAAAAAATAAATAAAATGTACACATATTTCCAAATAAAAAAAAATAAAATAAAATGTTAGAAATTCATTTTTTACAAAAAATGAAAATAAAGTAAAAAATTAAAAATATTAATTTTTCACTTTATTTTCATTTCAAAGTTTATTTTATTTATTTATTTATTATTTAATATTTTTTTTTCTTTTTTTTGGAAATATTCTAATTTATATATCCCATTTTCAAATTTCAGGCCTTTAGCGAAATCAGTGGCATCATAACCATGTACTATTCGGTACGAGCATTGAGTCCCTACACAGAATATGAATTCTATGTGATAGCTGTAAATAATATTGGTAGAGGACCGCCATCGATACCAGCGACTTGTACCACTGGTGAGACAAGTAAGTAGTCCAAAATCCAAATTAACAATTATGAAAAAAATAATAACAAAATGGGGTAATTATAGTTTTTAAGGATTTAAATCTTAAAAAAAATAGGAACCAATTTTAGAGAAAAAAATGTTTGAGAAAGAAATGTGGCTTCGAATTCTATGACCTTTTTTCCCTCAAAAACGGCCTTTTGAAACTCTGGTATTTTTTTTTTTCTATTAAAATAAAAGTAACAAAATGGGAAAAATAATAGATTTTAAGGATTTAAATCATTCAAATAATTAAGAAAAAATTAAAAAAAAATTAGAGAAAAAATGTGTCTTCGAATACTAAGACTTTTTTCCCTCAAAATCAGGCCTTTGAGATTTTGGTATATTTTTTCTATGCGGAAAATCTCGTCTGAGTCATTGAAAATATTTTTTTTTCGCAGGAAAAAGGCTCTGGTATTTTTTCCATTAAAATAAAATAACAAAACGGGAAAAATAATATGTTTTAATGATTTAAATCTTCCAAAACAAAATTAAGAAAAAAAATTTAGAAGAAAAACTTGGCTTCGAATACTATGCCTTTTGTCCCTCGAAAAGGGACTTTTCAGGCTCTAGTATTTTTTTCTATAAAAATAAAAATAACAAAAATGGGAAAAATAATAGATTTTAAGGATTTAAATCATTCAAAAAATTTAATAAAATTAAAAAAAAAATTGGAAAAAAATGTGTCTTCGAATACTAAGATTTTTTTTTCCTCAAAAGCGGGCCTTTGAGATTTTGGTATTTTTTTCTATGCGGAAAATCTGGTCTCAGTCATTGAAAATATTTTTTTTTTCACAGGAAAAGGCTCTGGTATTTTTTCTATTAAAATAAAATATTTTTTCTATTAAAAAAAAAAAAGAAAAAAAAAATAGAAAAAAATGGCTTCGAATACTATGCCTGTTTGTCCCTCGAAAAGGGACTTTTCAGGCTCTGGTATTTTTTTCATTTAAAATAAAAATAACAAAATGGGAAAAATAATAGATTTTAAGGAATGAGATTTTGGTTTTTTTATATTAAAATAAGAATAACTCAATGGGATAATAATAGATTTTAAAGACTTAAATCTTCCAGGATTTTGAGATTTTTGTATTTTTTTCTATGCGAAAAATCTGGCCTGTCACTTTTTTTTTTTTTTTTTTTTTTTGAGGAAAAAATGTGTCAATGACTTTTGGGGCTCTGGTATTTTTTTATTAAAATAAAAATAACAAAATGGGAAAAACAATAGATTTTAAGGATTTAAATCTTCCAAAAAAAAATTAAGAAAAAAATTAGAGGAAAAAAGTATGGCTTCGAATACTAGATCGTTTTTCCCTCAAAAACAGACTTTTGAGATTTTGGTATTTTTTTCTATGCGAAAAATCTGGCCTCAGTCACTGAAAATATTTTTTTTTCGGTGAAAAAATGTGTCAGTGATCATTTTTTCCTTCCAAGACATGTATTCTCTTTGAATTGTGGTATTATTAATATTTTAGTGTCCTTTGAAAGTTAGAAACTATTTTGATATTTAGAACTATATGAGGGTAATTTATCAGCCATTTTAAGAGATTTTTTATACTTTCAAAACTTTATTTAATGTTTACAACATAAATATTTCACAGCATATATTCATGGTTTCCCTTTTTTTCTCTTCCTTCTCTTTTCATGGTGGCGCAAACATAAAAAGGATTTTATTTCCAATTTTTTTCTTTAGTTGTTTCAGTGTTTTTTTTTTTTTTTTGCTTTTTTTTCTCATTTTTGTGGTTTTATTTTGTCATAAAATTTATGGCCATTATTATCATTTAAGTTTCATTATGAGTTGCTCTCTTTTTCTCCTTCTGTTTTTTTTTCTTCAACATCTTCTTGAAACAATCCACTCAAAAAGTCATATATATTTTTTTCTCTTTCTTCCCCGATTTTTTTTCTCTTCAAATTTCCAAACGCGACCACATGGCATGATATATATAATTTACATTGCCATATATTTAGGCGATTTTACATATGGTGGAGCAAGTAAGTATCCTTTACATTGATATCATATTGTTTCTCTTTCTCTGTAATATTTTTCACCCACACACACATACATATATACCAAAAGATTTTCACACATGTTGTGCCAAGGAAACTGCCATACTTAAGAGTGGCCCATAAAAAAAAGTTTGAATTTTTATTATGGCATTTCAGTTGGATGTGCCCACCACCCCCTCCCCTCCCGTTCTCTGTGTGTAGTTAAGCCATTTCTGCTTTCAATGCTTTTATTTAACTACCTGTCATTAAGTTAAAACACTCTAAAAGCTTTTCCCGTTTTCTTTTTTTTTTTTTTTCTCTTCTCAACTCCTTCTTCCTTTCTCTCTCGGTCCGTGTTTTTTGCCTCCTTGGAGGACAATCGTCTTTAGTTTAAATTTCTTTGGAGTCTCTGCATCTGTGTCTGTGTGGTATGGTATGTCATAAAGATGCGACTATATATGGACACACTTATGCTTTCATATCGTCAATGATTTTCAATAGGAAATACAAAACGATGGAGAAGAGAGGAAATGGGGGAAAGAGAAAGAAGTGGGCAATAAATGCAGCAAGTTATTGCAATTTAAACGGCAATGAAACTACTAACTAGAACAATGGGAAAAGGATTTATTTGCAAAGGGTTGTTGGATTGGAGAGATAGTATTGGAGGGTCCTCCCTCTAGAAAAGAAGTGGTAACTTAGGAATCCCTATATACGAATTCTATATACAAAAAGTTTCTAAAGGTCCGGTCGCTAAACCAATTCCTCTATACATGAATATCTATTAAAAATACATCTTCATTGGAAGTTGGAAGAAGTATCCCACCTCAGAGTGTGTTTCTTCAGGGTGAGATGAAAAAATTAAAACCAATTTCAGACCACTGTCATTTCTAAGCCACTCGTCCGACAGCTGTTAAAATTATTCCAGTGACAGCTCAATATATTGTTTACAAACGTACAAAAGCATTTTGGTGAGAATTTTTAGAAAAAAAGTCATTCGAGATGGAATTCAAGCCTGATAGTGGGATTTCTTTATATTTGGCTGGAAAACCATGAGTGGCTATCGTTAGAGCTCTTCAGCATTTAAATGAGAAAAAATATTTTGAGTCTCTTACCATCGCCCTTTACCGTGATACTGGTAGCGTAGCCCAACGTCAAGGAAAATGGACGGAAGAAAGAAGCAACATCAGCAGAAATGATTCGGAAAGTAAAGAAGCGACTTGATCGAAACCCACATCGCTGTGGCCGAAAAAATTCCCTTAATGCGCCGCCATAACAGCCGATGGTCGCTCTCCGCTCGTATCAATCGACCGTGGCATCAGAATAAATGCTGAATATTATGGCGAAAATATTTTGGAGGGTGTATTAAAGCCTTGGGCATGCAAACATTTTGGCCGCAGACCTTAGACATTCCAACAGGACTCAGCACAATCGCACTCAGCACGTGCCACCCAAAAATGGTTACAAAATGAGGTTCCTTGCTTCATTTCCAGCGCACAATGGCCACCAATATCTCCGGATACCAATCCTTTGGATTATTGTGTCTAGAGTATTTTGGAAAGCAAGGTTGGCACTAAAAATTACCAAAGTGTCGATCACCTCAAGCTGCGTGTGACGTTTTCATTGGCCATTTGAAGGCCATAATTTGTGCCAAAGGTGACCAATTCGAACCAATCTAAACTTATTCTAAAATTTGATGCTATTTCCGACATTTTTTGCTTTCATCCAAAAAAAATTTAAAAAAAAAATGTAAAAATTATGGCGTTTGACTTTGTTGCAGGTTTTTTTTTTTATTTCACCCTGGTTGCTAAGCGATTTTTTTTAGACTTTACTTTTCACATCTCAATTATATAACCCTATTCGGATTGAATTTACCTAGAGTTTTTGCCAAAGAAATACTCTTAAAAGATTATTTTACAATTGTATATTAACAATTGGATATATTTCGTAAAATCTCACGAATGGTGATCCTTTTGTGTGTGTATGTGTCCACATGAAAATACAAAGGTTGGTTAAAAAAAAGTGCTATTGAATTTTGATCCAGACAGGCTCTCTGTGTGGGGCCTTTAAATCTAGTGCTCCAGGCTGAAGCTGAGTCTTTAAATTTTGTTTAAGAGTCACTCTTGGTCCGAAGGGGTCACAGATAAGGCTGGGTATTAAAATGAACTAAATAGGGTACAATTTTTATTTCCGGAAGCAGTAGAGCTAGATCTCCTAAATTGAGGGTCACTGATGGAGTGTATGATAGATGTACCAAGAGGTTTTTGGAAATTCGCTCGATAAGTGTACGAAAAGTGCATTTGGTACCATTTCATATCATGAGAACGGTTAGGGCTAAAAACTGCAAATTTGGAATGGCAAACAAGGTTGAGGAGTAGAGTCGCTGTAAGAAGGTGGTTTTGGAAGTATGTACTCACGTAGACGAAAAGTACTAAACGGTACTAAATTTTGATTTTGATCCAGGCAGTTGTCTCTGTGGGGCCTTTAAATCCCGAGCTCCAGGCAGAAAATTGTAATAGGTACAATTTGGTATAATGAGAACGGTTAGGGCTAAAAACTGAAAATTTTGAATGGTAATCAAGGTTGAGGAATAGAGTCGATGTAAGGAGGTATTTTGGAAGTGTGTACACATATATACGAAAGGTACTTAACTGTACTAAATTTAGTACAATTTGTGTTTGGAGGAATGGATGAAGCTGAAATACTGAAACTTGAGATTGAGATTACTGGCGCAGTATAGGATTGGGGTATGGAGGAAGTTATCGAAATGTGTACTTATGTGCACGAAAAGTACTAAATTTGGTACTATTTCGATTTGGGTGAACCGATAGAGGTGGAATACTGTTGCATTGTGTTATTGGGGTATGTTGTAAGTTTTTGGACATCGTACTTATGTGTACTAAATGGTACTTATTTTGGTACAATTTTAATTTGGAGGAACGGAGGGAGCTGGTACACAAAAATTTGAAATTAACATTTCTTGCGGAGTGTAGGACTGGGATATAGAGGAAGTTTTCGAAATTTGTACTTATGTGCACGAAGAGTACTACATGGCACTAAATTTGGTACAATTTCGATTCAGGTGGAAAGGTGAACTATTGCATTGTAGGATTGGGTTATGTAGTAAGTTTTGGAAATTCGTACTTATGTGTACTATATGGTACTTATTCTGGTACAACTTTGACTTGGAGGAACTGATGGAGCTGGAATCCTGAAATTTGAAATTAACAATAATGACGAAGTATAGGATCGGGATATGAAGTTTTCGAAATATGTACTTATGTGCACGAAAAGTACTAAGTAGTGATCCGATAGAGCTAGAATTCTGAAATTTAGAAATAAGATTACTATTGCATTCTAGAACTGGGGAATGAAGGTAGTTTTGGAAATCCGTACTTATGTGTACTAAATGGTACTAAATTTGGTACAATTTAAATTTTATGAGAACCAATAGAGGTGAAATCCTGAAATTTGATGTAGGTAGTTATGGAAAATTTCTACTTAATTTGGTACAAAAAATTGTACAAATTTGTACTAAATTTGGTACATTTTGGATTTTGTTTTGAACCAATAGAGTTGGTATCCCAAAAAATTGTAAATAAGAGTGTAGGATTGGGATGTGTAGATAATTTTGGAAATTTGTACTTATATGTACTAAATTTGGTACAATTTGGATTTGAGTGAACCAAAAGAGCCGGTATCCTACAAAATTGGAAATAAGATAACTGTCGGAATATTGGGATAGGATGTATAGGTTGTTTTGTACTTATACGTACTAAAATGTACTAAATTTAGTACAACTGAATTTGTGCGATCCAATAATAGGGCTGAAATCCTGAAGTGTAGGATTGGGATATGTACTAAATAGTACTATATATTTTCTCCAATATGTATTTGAGCAAAGGGGTGGAATCCTGAAATTTGGAATTTACATATTGCGGGAGTGTTAGACTGGGATAAGTACGGAGCTTTGAAAATTCGTACAAATATAGCAAATTTTGTACAAATAGGATTTGAGTGAACCTATAGAGCTGAAGTCCAGAAATTTGGTATTATTTTTGGAAATAAGTACTACAATGGTACAAAAGGTTATAAATGGTACAAAATTTAGTATTGAATGTACGGATAGAGTTGGATTTCCGAATTTTGGTGTGGTGTCAGAATTTTCGTCCATCGATTTTTCCGCATACAAAGTATTGGGTATTTGCTGGTCGGAAATAATTAAAAAGCGCAACAAAAATGATGTCTTTTTTTAGAATGTAGTATAGAAGCATGGCATGGCTCAACAAATCGATAAATTCCTTTATTGTATTTTTTTTTTTTTTTCAAAGGCCCCATTATATTTAGGCCTCTTCCCTCCTCGATTTCGTATTTTTCGAATCAATTTCACAAAAGTCTTGATAAACACTTTAGGATTATACTTTTACGGTTCACATAAATGCATGCATTGCGTATGTATGCGTGCATATATCTACGATTCATGCATTCGTACTTCCGGCTTTCATACTACTGCAGCAAGGCAGGGTAAATGCAATGCATTTGCCGTTTTCGAAACGATTGTAAAATTTCCCGTAACGAGTCTCAATAAACGTATATTATGACCAAGAAGATTATTGTATTAACATTTTTGCAGCTGTTGATACTTTTCGGTCGGTATGATGATGATATTGTTATTGTTGTTGTTTGGTATTATTGTTTTTTTCCGAAATTGGATGGACTTTCATTATGTAAAGTGCAGCCATGGCAAAGAGATGGACATAATATCTATGGGAAAAATCAATAAATTTTATTTGGGATTGAAAAGGGTATTTTCTGGACCTCAAATTTTGTTCGTGAAGATAAGATAGATCAGAAAAATTAAAATAAAATTAAAAAAAAAATAAAAAGCAGAAAGTTTGGCCGGGCCGAACTTTCAACGAATTTGGCAATTCTCAAAAACAATAAAATCCGCTAGAAATTCTGTAAAAATCTTAAAAATATACCGAATATAGGGAGGTCCTGACATATGG